CATATGCCACAAGCTGCAAGGGGCAGATTTGCACCTGTCCGTTGCCCTCCCCACCCCACAGAAGTGGTGTGACTGCTCCCCAGCCCCTGGCATGCTCTTCTCCAGAGTGAAAAACCACTCTTGTTTTGCCAGTAGTGGTGGGTTCTTTCACTTACAGTAAAGGTAATTGTTCAGGCACTCAGAGGGGACAGGTATTTCCTGATCCAGATGATCTGATGTCACACAAAATTAGGAAAGATTATGGCCTTGGTGGGATAGGAATTGTCTGTTGTCTCACTCATTACATCTGCTTCACCTGTAGACTAGAGTCTGAGTTATTTCTGATGTAGCAGTAAAGGGTCCCTGGCCCCAGGCACTATGGACAGTGTACTGACTGCGAGGCAGGATTTAGTTTCCTTGGGAATCCTGTTGGTGAAGGAGAACGTGCTGGAGGTACAATGGTAACTGTATTTAGGATGTAAGTCCTTTGGGATAGTTTTGGCACCAAGTGTTTTAGAGTTCTCATGACCAAACCCAGGGCTGTCCCCGGTACCATGTGAGTGGGCATGTGGGGTCTCAGACTGCCCAGGCAGATGCATTTGAAAACTAAGGTGGTACACACCACTGACTGACTGAGTGATAGAGACACTGAGCTCAGAACATCCACTGCATGAGGGTGACCTGTTTTCAGAGCACACCAGCCACGTAACAGCTCCATTTGCCCTGACCCGAACACCCACAGCACCCATCCGACCACCCAGAGGACACACTTCTGATATGGCTGCAGAGAAGCACTTGTGAGCAAATACCACTCCAGTGCCAAGTCATACCAGCCACCACGTTCTGCTGGTCTCACTGGAAACCAGGCCCATTGGCCCAGCTACAAGGTGCCCTGGCCACTGCTGCAGGACCGCAGTGCTGGTGCCAGCCCATTCAGCTCCTGGGCTGCAGGGTTCTCCAGATCTGCGCTTGCCACCCTCACACGATACACCCTTCACATTCTCTGCAAAACCAAAGGTGAAGAAAAAACATGTTAAGTTGCTAATGGCAGTGCCCAAAGGTACTATATCTGAAGATAACATCAATAGAGAGAGCCAGTGCAAGTTCTCTTCATGCAAACTATTTCCCAGAGGCTAATGGCAAGGGGAGAGAGGGAGAGAAAAACATGTACTGACAGTTTACTGTAGGAGCTCAAAGAAAAAGTGGACAAAGCTAAAAGAACTCTGGCTCTTTGTTCACATTTAATCCAGTTCAGAGCATTCACTGGTGCATACAGATTTACTTTCCATGGCTGACAGAGCTGGATATGGTCATCTGGTAAGAAACAGAGGATCTAGGATTTAAATCTTGTGCCATTCAGGCTCTTACATTTTAGGAAAAGTCAGTCTCAAGATATATAAAGTTTATAAAGTCTAATGTAAAAAGTGAGAGCTGCTGGTTAATACCTTCAAAGACACACATCCTGGTCTTGACAGGTGAAGAATGCTTTCTGGCTTTAACCAGACTAAGTTTTTAAGGAGTAGAGCATTTCTTTTGGTTCATGGAAATCAAGGGAAAGACTGAGGCCTCTTGTCCCTACGCAAGGAATCCCCTTGTTTATTCTCTTCCTTCTCAACTCTCATCTACAATTTATAAAGGCACTGATTTATCAGAGGCTCCTAGAATGGTACTAAAATACCACTGTGCACATATTTTGATGCAAAACAAATAGTCCAAGCACCTGATGTCACAGTCCAACAAAATTATCTGATCAGCACTGCAGGCTTTTGCTGAAGACAGACAGTTAAAGTTACACATAGCCTATTTCCTAAGGGCTGTAGGGTCAGTTATCTCTGGCTGAATTTGGAAAACCCCACACTGAAAAACAGCACATTGAAAGAGGACTTCATATAGACAAGGACAGAACCTACCAAAGGGTTTGTGAGGCAAAGGTAGAGAGGTTGGGTTAGAAAAGGCAGAACTAAACGGGAAAGTTCAGTTGCAGAGTACAGTTGACCCAAATTAGGCAGATTTTAGCACAGTATACTGGAGATGCAGCCCCAACAGTGTGTAGCTTGGCCAGTAAACCTTAGAAAGTGCCACCTACAAACCAAACCAATAAATGTGGCACAGTGTTAAAGGACAGCATTCTTCCTCATCCTTCTGCCCTCTCCAAGAATTTTTTTTTTCTCATCTCAGAAGGACCCCTGGCACTTTGGTTCAACCAGTATTGCTCAAACTTCATATTTCCACATAAACCCACTCCTTTTTATCCTAACTGCCTGTGTGCCCAGGAAAGCAGAAGCCTATCCTGGCTGGCATCATGTCACCCCAAGAAGGATCCCAACATGTGACACGAAGCTGCCCAGTTGCTTAACTGCTCCAGCCGCTTGCTCAGCTCTTTTAGTGGCACTACTAATTCTCTCAGAGGTTGCTGGCTGTAATGGGCTGCTAATGAAACAGACCAAAAGGCAATTTAGGCTATTTAAGTATACTGCAGGAAAAAAGCTCTACCTGGGTAGATGACACATGATGTATTTTGTATTAATGTTTCAAGTCAATTTGGAGGATCCTGATGGCAGGCAAGGGAGAAATATTTTGTTGCAAGTTTGAACATCGTACCAGGATGTAAGTCCAGCCCCTGAACATGAACAGGGATTGAATTAGGGCTGAGAAATGCATCCCTGGCTAGTTTCAAATTAAAAAAAGAGAGATTTTAAAAAGGTACAAATGAGGGTAAAAGAATTTATGTGATTTTTCCGGTTTCTGTGCTATAACTCCTTTTCCCTCTCCTCATCTATCTTCTTAGTGTACTACCTCATAAATGAGTGAGCAATAAAAGAAGCATGCAGTGGCTGAGAAACTCAAGATAACAGGATAACGTAAATGTAAGCCAAAGCTTGAGCAGAACTGCAAGTTAAGATGTAGATCTGAGTATAAAAGTTTCTCACATCTGAGTTTTAGGGCAGTCACAGATAGTTTGCATGGAAAACTAACCTAAAAACAGTAGCATGAAATATGACCCAGTATGTACTAAGTTCACATCTGTCAAACTCTTGGACCTATGCTTTCTATGGTTTTTAATCCTGCTTTCAGACCACATGTGCTGACACTTCACTCGCAGACTAAAAATAAAGCTATTTTAATGCCTTTGAAATCCCTGTCTTCATTAAAGAGGGGCAGGTGAAGAACAATAAGTAAAGAATCAGCTACAAACTCTCCTAAGGTTAGGCAACAGCAATTACTGTGCCTAGATGACATGAGAACAGCCTGAAGACCAAAAGGTATGAGAATAAGCTACTACATGCAGTCTCTAAATTACTCATTCTAAGGCTGCCAAGAGCAGGATGGAGTTATGTTCACCAGGGTTAGTGCTCCACTTAGGATCTGCAGTTGTGCTCCTTCTCCTTGCCATCCCTGGTTTAATGCTGAGATTTTAGTCTTTTGAGTCCCAGGACACATGTCCAGCCTTCGAGCTGGACTTGGCTCCTTCAGTGCAGGCTGGAGCAGCAGCCAGTGCCAGTGTCTGAGTTTCACAAATGTCCAAAACTGAAGAGGGGTTATAAAAAAGGTTTAATTCAATTTGTTGTATCACTGTACAAGGGTACAACCAACCCTTGTAGGCTGCCCAGGTCAGTTGTGTGGATCAGATGGGCTTTCTCAGGGGAAAACTTGTGTGGCCACTCCCTGAACCCAGATAATCCCTCTGGCTGCGCTTCCACTGCTGGGATTTGCTGGTTTAGGCAGAATTTAATTATCAAAATCATTATGGCCTCTTTCAGGCAAAGACCGGTGGGAAATTAACTGCTGGAATTAGGTGTTTTCTAGCATTGACCGAATGTAGCTGCTCAGTAAGGTCAGTTATAAGGCTCAGGATGGACAGCAGGGACTGAGCTGGTTTCCAGTTTCATTTGGCAGAGTGGGTTGATGAACAAGCAGCAGGAGGGAGAAGGCACAAGGATAAAGCGTCAAGGATGGGAAGGTGGAAGGAAAGATGAAGCTTGTTATCTTCAAAAGGAATGTAGTGACAACTCAGGTGTAAGCATGAGATACCCCTACAAAGAAGAGAACATGTGACAGGGTGGAGCAAGCCACGGGGTTGAGGTGTTTGAGAAGCTTTTACAGTATGAATGAGGTAGATTTTTTTCACAAGAATTGATGACGAAGCATGAAAACTGTTACTCATCTTTACTCGCTAAGACAGACTTAGTTTTCTTAAAAGTAGCTGGGGCATTTTGTATTATCCGTGATCCCTGTGAGAGGACACAAAATACTTCAAACCCTCCAGAAAGTGCAAATAACATGACTATGGTATACTAAAATAATACTTAGATTTCCAAATCGGAGCATTAGCTTGCAACATTTAGAACAGATGATGCCTACATGAATAAATGATCATCTGCTCTACACTGCTGATTGATGTGAGACCAACTGAAGAATAAGCCTTGATAGAGTTTAGCTGCTTGTTCCTATCTTGCACCAGCTGATGTCATGTCCAGGTGCAAGAACTGAAATGCAGTTTATGTTTTAGCCTGTGTTTACAAGAATCAAGTTCTAATACCTATTGTTGAACTTTAAAAGCATTCTGCATGTGGCATTTCAGGGAATAGTGTGATTCTCTGCCAGTTCCTAATTTCACTGCCATGTGTCAAGAGCTGTAACACCAGATGAATCTGAAGGACTGTGCATTCCTATTGGAAATGAAAGTGATGAAAAAATGTGGTTAAGGAGAGTCTCATTTTACCCTTGCTCTGTGGGCTGTGAAATTAGGAAAAGTTTTCCTCCATGCTTAACTCGAAGAGCAATTTGGGAATAAGCTTTGCAGCAATGCTCAGCTGACGCTGATGAGCATTTCCTACCTGGGACAACAGTGTCACTGGGCAAGCAAAAGCCCCAGCTTTGGTGGGAATGTGGCCTGTGAGGTGACAATTCATGCTGGAGAGCAAACTCATCTGTGACTGTCATTCAATATGTATCAAATAACCCTGTTGAAGAGACTCTTGCTTCTATTAATGCATCATTCTTTGTTCTTCCAAATACAGATTCTGGAAGAAAATATGAAGTTAGAATGCAAGTGCCATGGGGTCTCAGGATCTTGTACCACTAAAACATGCTGGACAACTCTGCCTAAGTTCCGGGAGCTGGGCTACATCCTTAAGGACAAATACAACGAAGCTGTTCAAGTCGAACCAGTGAGGGCAAGTCGTAACAAGCGTCCCACCTTCCTGAAAATAAAGAAGCCACTTTCCTATCGTAAACCCATGGATACAGATTTAGTGTACATAGAAAAATCTCCCAATTATTGTGAAGAAGACCCTGTCACTGGCAGTGTGGGAACACAGGGCAGGATGTGCAACAAGACAGCCCAGCAGTCCAATGGCTGTGATCTCATGTGCTGTGGTCGAGGTTACAATACACACCAGTACTCAAGAGTGTGGCAGTGCAACTGCAAATTTCATTGGTGCTGCTATGTTAAATGCAACACTTGCAGTGAGAGGACAGAAGTATATACCTGTAAGTGAGCATGTGGCTGGGCAGGCTGGCATGTCCCTGGCCATGAATACATTTGCACATGCACTCAAAGTACCTACGCAAGACTGTAGGAAAGACCTGCTCTCCCAGAAGAAATGCTGATGAATGGAGCCCTCTCTTTTCTTCTCATGTTTCATTGCTTCTGTGAATACACATTTCAGACTCTTATAAAAGTCAGCCAGGAAACAAAAACAAAGAACCCCCACCCTGAGCCACCTGACACACAAAACAGAGAGAAAAAAGATCATCTCAGTTAATGTGCGCCTCTAAAGCAAGAAGTATTGACTGCCTTGTGAAGAGACACCACTCAGAGGAAAAGCTCTGAGCATGGCAACTAACTCTTGGTTTGGAAAAACAATGGGGAAAAACTTCAGTGTAACAAGGAGCAGGGAGGGGCAGAGGAGAAATCCTCAAAAAGGGCTTTGCACAGGATGGGATGGACAGTGCCTTGTCGTGAACTGCCCATGTGAGTGTGTGGATGACACAGATTTAGGCTTCTACACTCGTGAAAAGCTTCTGCTGCTCTTGCCCATCTTTCCACTTCATACCTTTTGCTACAGCGAGTAGAACTTTTGAAAGTTTCTGTAGACACTGCTTTATCTGCCTTTCTTGTGTGTGCGTGTGCTGCAGATTTTAGCACAGGGAGTTGGGACACTTTGGCATAATAATAGCAATATTTAACAATTTATTCAGATAAAACTAATATTAATTTATTTAATTAAAAAGAACTCTACCAACATTTTTGGATCTATTCTACAATTAAAGTAGATAGCTGGCTTTGTGGAATAATTTTGTAGAAACGGCAAGGAAAAACGGGGGCTGTATATATTATTCTTCACTAGGATATTTCTATTAGTTGGACTTGCAGGATGTGTTCTACAGTACTAGATGTTTAAGTACAAAAGCTGGCATCTTTATATATATGTACATACACAAACACACACTATTGTTTTGGGTTTTTGTGTTTGTCTGTTTGTTTGTTTTCTCCTGTTTGCTGCTAGTTGTCTGGAACAAAAGTCAAGTGGTAGGGGTTACAAATCTTTATCAGTTTGGGGGTGGTTTTCCTGCCATTAAAGAAAGAAACGTTACTAAAATCCTGTTTGAAATATGTCGAAAAAAAAAGAAAAAAAGAAAATCCAGACAAACTTCCATCTTTTGGAAAAATCAACCATAGGATAAGAGAGTATATTTTGTAAGAGACTATTTTTATATAAATATTTTATTTATACTATGTCTGCTTGTTCAACCTGTACTTTTTCTCAAAACAGGCATACAATTTGTAATTCTTAGGATATTTAACAGAGGAAGGGTCATTAGTTTGTGGACACAGCAGCAGCAAGCTGGATCATTCAGCTGCAGTCGGTGGATGTGTCAGGAAGCAGAATGACCTTTCTCTGGATGTGTGTACAAACCGGCTCTTTTCCTGCAGCTCCATTTGCAGAATATGCAAAACAAGAACAGGGTCTGTAGCATCAATTCTGTCACATGGCTTGAATTCCTCATTGGTATGAACTGGATGCTCATTTATCCCATTCAAGTAAAGCAAAATCCGAATTAGCTTCCCACATGCGTCAGTCATTAAACTGTGGTGTTATGACTAGCAAAAGTGCTGTGTGTGCTGTCAGTTAAACCTCTATATTGTGTTACTGTCAAATTTGATTTTAATCAGTGGAAGACTGTAGACTATGACTGTAAAAACTAGCATGACACACATCGTCTGATTCTCATAGATAGGATACAAAGCTTACTTTTTGTCCAGCTCTTTTTGGCATTTACATTATTCAAGCCCCCCCCCCCGAAGGCCAGTGCTCAGGAATTCAGGAAAACATCTACGCAAATTTAGAGACTACTCACTTGTTTGTCAGAGTCCAGCTAAGCTATTTTGTGTTCCCTTTATGGTATTTCCTTTTTATCACTGTAATTTCTCCAGCTATTTGAGTGGTGAATATCATTCTGTTTCTCCTGCTTGACACATTAGTGACTGGTAAAAAACTAATCTAATTTTAATGTTATTTTTCATTGGGTAAGAAACCGATGATATTGCGTGTTCTGTCTGGGACAGACCAGATTCTTCTCTACTTCCAGACTACAGGATCTCACACTTTTAATGAGGCTAAGAGGGGCATCAGTAAGGAGACAAACCTTCATCTAGCATGCAGTACAGTTCCCTGACTCCTCGTGAGAGCAGTGAGCCTTGCAAGGAGGATGTGGTACAGATTTATCTTGTGTCCACTGATCTTTCTGAGGCAAAACTCCCACCTAAGACTGCAAAACCAGAGGAAGTTTTCTTAGTAAATAAAAGTATCACAAAAGATGTTTTAAAGTTCCACTGTAAGTATCTAACCTTTTAGAACTTTTCTGAATGTGACATGATGTTTCCTTGTTTTAACTTACTTCTTGCATACATCATTTGTGTAAGAACACAAGCCCATGCAGCACCTGAGCCTGCAGTGTATAATTAAGATTACATAGAGAGTTTCTTTGCAGAACTCCCACTTAAAATAGAATTTTTATGCAATTCAAACACCCGCACGGGATATCAAAATAAAATTATGAACATAATTTACTTTCAAACTTACGACTTGTCAGTATAAAGCAATGTAAAAGCAATTCGGGGTATGATTGAGTCACTGCTTTTAATTCTAAATTCCATGCATCAACAATTGATAAGACATAAAATGGAAGTATATACAGTATGGATGTTAATTACAACAACATGTTACAGACCTAACATTTAATATTGGAATCTCCCTTCCTCCCCCAGTTTGTATTGGCTTTTTACTTAGTGAATACCATATCACAGTCAAAAATGTGTTTTCTTTACTGGTTAGAGTTATTCTATAACTTACTACTTTTGCAGCAGGAAGAAGAATTTGTGGAAGTCCTGCTGCCTCTCTGTTTCAGTAAGCAGCGACGTGCAATGTACAGCAAGCAGATTAGTAACTGAAGGTCAAATAACTTTAAACAGTTTTGCTCACAATAATAAAGAACTGGATGATGATAAAATGAATTTGATCTACATTTCCCCTGTATTTTACAGCATTGTGTATGATCAGTGTATTAATTAGTGAAAATATCAATTTGATAACTGCAAGAACAGTTTGGGAACTATGAATTAAAGAGCAAGGAAAATGCTGCATTCAACTAGAAAGTACCTGGAAATTTGGCTGTATCATCTTAGACAGGAGAAACTTGGCCCATCAGAATCTGCCATGAGTCTGGAATTAACTGTTCATTGGCTAAACGGTTTTTAATGGCACGAAGAATAAACAGGAGAAGGAGAAAGATTTACAATTTGGTAGATATTCCCCCCCCCCCCCCGACAACAGTTTGTTCTTTGTCCTCAGGGATAGAAGAGCTCTATTTCTGCCTGGTGAAGAACCACACAATGGGAATGAAATGCACACAACTGCAGAACAATATAGCTCTCAAAAGAAAACACATCTTTTCATCTCCACTAACCAAAGGAAGTGCTGGATTGCTGCTCACATTCATAACCCAGCTGAGGCTTTTAAAGAAAACATACATGCAAGAGGAGTGAGAAGAGTAGGAAGTGTAAGAGAACAAGCGTAACTGCAAGTTGGGAAGCTGTTATTCATGCGATCTCACTTTCTCACTTAATAACAGAACCTGGATTCATGGAAATAAAGCAGTTCTGCCTTGGGATTCCGAAGCACACTGTAAGGATTTTACCTCTCAGCCTTTTTAAAAGGACAACTAACCTGAATACAGTTAGCTTGAATACTAGAAGTACCTACATAAAACATGAATCAGTCAATGATTAAGTTTTCTTTGCCATGTATGCACAAACCTAATGGAGATATGTCTTTCAACAGTGATAATTAAACTGAAAACATCCTTAAAACATGCTCTCAAGTGACTCATTTGGTAAAGTTACTGTAAGGGTGCACAGTTACTTAGAAAAGGAAAATAATGGAGATGAACCATATTACACAAGGCTCTTAATTACTTATCTGTGGATTATAGAACTGTTTTTAACTCACCACACTTGAAAATCAGTGTGGTGAATACAAACATCACAGAGTACAGGTGAGGTGCATATATTCAGATTAATTTCTGACAACATTTTTACATTTATCATTATAGCAGGTATCAGAAATATGCACTGTGAATGTCCAAAATGAGTGTATTAACTAATAGAGCCCTCTGCACCCAACTCATAACCCCAAGAAGTCAATTGAACAAGAAGCTCTCCACCTCTGCTCTTGGTAAGACTATCCTGCAGCCTCAGTGATTGACGTGCCTAGACAAAGTTGGCCGAATCTGGCAGATGCTGTTGCTGTCAGCCAACAGAGGTACAGTCTGAGTCAGGCTTGAATGTTCTAAAACTGTTCAAAATTGAACCAAGTGCAGGAATTGTATCACAGCAAAACTTCAGATGATGAAGCTCATCTAGATTCCAAAACATTCTCCCTTAATTGATGCTTATTTTGGGTAATTGTCACCATGGCAAGTGACCCGATTTGCTAACCCAATTAACATTCTTCTGGTCAAAATTGTACCAGTAATTTCTCAAAATGTGAGCAGTTTAATCTCGAACAAAAATTGAGGGAACCCTACCTCTGGATTAATAAGTCAGAATGATGAAGAGATGCGCTTGGATCTAAAGGACTCCAGGTGTCTGAAGAAGGATACCAAAACTTTGTGATCCTCTTGTCCAGAGGTAATGTTGTAAAAACCAAAAGGCTTCTTTTGATACTTTGGAGCTCTGTGACATAACTGATTTTTACATTTTGTTTTTACATATTCACAGGTTCATCTATAGCATGTATCATGTAGTTTGCAATTGGAGGTCAGAAACAAGTCCCAGAGAAAACTCGCTTCTAAGTGTAGCACAATATATTTACTACTGGTGCTCTCAGGTTTATGTAATTCCTTACCTTGATCTTGTAATTTTGTTAGCAAAGTCTCTGCATCCCACTTTTTTTAGGAAAGATGCCTTTCTTTGTAAAGAGGTTTGATATCCCTGTGAGATGAGATCATATTTACATTAGAGAAATGTTCCCAGGATTATGCGCACATAAAAAAAACCCAAAATGAGGTAAAGAGGATGGTATCAGCATTGAATCATTTACTTATGCTTAGTAACACATAGTCAAACTTAGTTCAGAAAACTTAGCCCCAGTTTGCGTTTCCTATGCTAGCTTTCCTCTCCCTATACACTCAAAATACAAGTAGTATATATCATACCAGATTCACAGCTGATTTTGTGGTTGCCAATATAAACAATTCATCAGTGGTACCTCACAAACCCAATAGGACCAGCATAGAAAACCTGTGCACCTCTAATGCATAAGAATGCACAGAAGTTTCTCTTGGGAACAGCACATTATGCACAACTTGCTGTTACTGTAGTGCTTCACTTACCATTCTCATGCCTGCAGCGTGTATACACTTGTTGTCTTATTCTCTCCAAGCAGTTGCAGTTTTAGCTCTCTTTAGAGTGTTCATAAGCTGTTCAGTCCATTCCCAGTCACCGATGGCTTGTGTGTCCTGGTTTTTAACCTGTATGTGGGGTTACAATTATAGAGGAGGACACTCAATGTGTGGAAACATTCTATCTCTCACAATGTACCTTTAAGTTTTCAGACCAATGCAAGAAATATGGCATCACTCCAGCCATCTAACATGCCATGTGCTCCTTACTCACATTTTCAATACAATTGAGAAAGCTGCCCTGATGGCTTTTTAAAACAAAGTTAAAGACTTTAGCCAAAGCTAAGCCTGCCTAGCTGTTACACACCTCACAGCACAATTTCATTTGGCTCAGGCCAAATCCAAACATCTATTTCATTGAATCAGCAAGAAACCTGTTTTGTGAGTTGTTTCTCACACTTAATTTCTTTCCTAGCAACTTTTCTTTTGCACGTGGGCCCATGAAAATATGCACTGTTTGTCCACATGGAGCTTATTGTTGAAACGACTTAAATTTGATCTGAACTGTTTTAAAATACTCAAGGTATTAAATACCTGGTACCTTGAGGTAAAAGTTACTGACAGAGATGGTAGAGTACAGATAGTGTTAGACCATAATGCCATCACACAGCATTGGAAGGTACATAATTTAACACCAAAAAATCAGGATAATTCCTTTTGGCCTTCTATGATGCTGAA